AAAATAAATAAATAAAATTCTGGAGCTGGCCTAGACAATAACTGTGAAGAATTCACCTTCCAGCGGAGTTACTCTTGACTGCCAAGCATGGGTCACAATAGCACCCTGGGCGGCACAAATACCTTTCCATTGGCATTATGTGCTTTAGCTTAAATGACCACGGAGCTTAGCAAAGAACGAAATACAGGCCTACTACCTCCCTCTAAACATCTTTTATCCTTAGCTCTTATCATGTAGAAAAAAATTCTGGGAAATGAATTTTCAGTAAGGTTGAGCTAGTTCTCTTGGCAACCTCCCCAGTCTTTCTACCCACATCATGGAAATGCGTACAGCAGTCTTGCCAAGAAAAGGAAAAGAGAAACAGCTGGAGGAAATTACAAGCTACAAAAGCTGAAAAGCATTGCCACCCCCTTTTAGAAATGACTATTTCTGCTAAATTTAATGATTTCTCCTCAGCATCTTGCAAGGTAAAGGTGATGGTTATTGAAGGGGAGGGGTTTCTAAAGCAAACCAGGATGCTGGTTCCCATCTGGGAACAGTAGAAAGAATTGCTGAGGCTGGGGGAGCAGGGCTGCTGCCAGGACAGAGAATCCATCTTACAAGTGACTCACGTAAGACTTATCTCAAAACCAATCCTTGCATGCCTGAGACAATTTCCATGATTCACCTGACATGGCACTCTGAAATTTGGTAAGGCCCTTTCCGAGAGGACAAGGGTCAGGACTTTCAGGTGAGCTACTTCCTTCATCAACATCAACTGCTACGCGCTGGGAGTCTCCTTCCTAACAGAGAACTGCAGGTGTCTCCTGTGGGGGAATTCACAAAGGCGAAGTCTGAACAGCCCTAGTCTGTTAGGTTCCAGCAAGATGAGTTTTCAAAGAATTTTTCTCACCTCGGATGAAACTCCTCTACCTTCTTGCAAGTCTTTTTTTTTTTTTTTAAGATTTATTTATGCAGGCACTGGGTACAGTCAGAAGCTCGGGAGGGTGAGAGAATTCACCAGAGCGGGGAATAGAACAGGCAGACTGATGAAACACACTGCTGAGAGGAGCAGCAGGCACAGCAGGAGAGGTCTGCACGCCATGTGGGACCCTCGCCCACAGCCGGGGATCGAACCAGCGCTGCAGAGGCGGTGGGCAGCCTTGCAGCCCAGCGCTCAACCGCTGAGCCACCGGGGAGGCCCTTCTTGCAAGTCTTTTTAAAAAGCAATTTCAGTCCTTAAAATTGCGACTAATTCTCCCACTTTTAATCTACCCTTGCTCTGTTTATTAATTACTTTATTGTTTAATGTTCAAATCTTATGTGCACAGGTTAATGAGTTCTTAGATCGGTGTACACTCACAACCACCACCCAGACCAAGATAAAAACTTTAACAGCACTCTAGAAGATTCCCTCAGGGACTTTCCCTCACACACACACTCCCTTTCAGTCATTCCTGTTCTATTTTTTCAATAACATTTGTTACTTTAAAAGAAAAGATTTATTTATTTATGCATACAAGACCTGGGGTGTAGACCAGAGGTGCACAAGAGGATTCACCAGAGACAGAGTAGGGAGCAGAACAGGTAGATTGACTGAAATACACTGCTGAGGGGAGCAGCAGGTGAAACAGGAGCGGTCTGCTGTGCCATGTGGGTCAGCTCCCTGGCCAGGGATGGAACTGGCGCTGTAGTGGCTGCAAAGAGCTTGATAGAATTGTCTTTAACCCCAGTGCCAACAAGGAGGCCCCCAGGCCCGGTTTTTCTCTGTACCTTTGCTCTGTTGTTGGATTCCAGGATATAGAATGAAACATTTGAGATCATCTAGTCTAATTTCATTTTACTTGAGGGCCCAAGAGATTCAAGGACAGACCAGCACCACCTGGTCAAAGATCAAGTGTGGCAAATGAAAAGAAACCCAGACCACCTGGAGTTGAGGGCGAGCAGCTGAATGTTTCATGTACCCAAAGACTAGAAGGGTGGGCCATGCTTCCCAGACTCTGTGCACAACTCCCGTCAGGTGTGGGGCTTTGAATCAGGCCCGGCCTCCTCCATGAAGCCTCTGTAAGCCCCCTGGCTGGAAATGAGCCCTCAGGCCAATGACTTGAGCCTCTCTGGCCTGCAGGTAATTCCATGTTTGTCTACAAGTCCTACCTGCCCGTTACATTTTAAGCAAACTTTTGATCATTTTTGCCTTTCCATCATTCTTAGCGCAGTGGCTTGCCCACTGCAGATGAGCAGCAAGTCTGCGGAAAGAATTCCTAGTGTCAGGAGTGTAACAAGGCTGGGGAGGCGTGATTCACGCGTTCAGACACCATCTAACAACCTTGCAAGCGAGTTTAAATTTTCCAGGTGCACCTCGCCATCCACACACCGCACTTGAGCTGCTTTTGAGTCCAAATCCGTAAAGGGGAAGGAGTTTGATCTGGGCATTATGCCTGCTGGCTGCAATTATAGGATAAGTTTCTCGAAGTCGTTTGGCGCCCTCTTTTTCCCCACCCTCAGCGCAGCACGTCGTGGCGCATTAGGTGATCAGTCCGGGAAAGCGACTTGGCTTTGTGAGAGCAGAGCTCCCCTTACAGAGGAGGGAGTTCGGGTCCCCTGGCGAGCCTCTGCGCCGCCGGCTTTCCGGGCCGACTCGGTCACCGACCCGGAGCGGCGGGAAAGTGACGCGAAGCCGGTGGGGCGGGGTGGCGGGAGCGGTCCCCCGAGATCGCGGGGGGAGCCGAGAGCCATCGCCGCTGCCGGAATCGGGGGGCTGGGCGAGCTGGGGACCCCGCTCTGGGCACCGCCAGGGTGCCCACCTGTACGCGGCACACGCGCAGGGCGCAGGGGCTCCACCTGGGCGGCTTCTGCCCGCCCCGGGGCTCGCGTCCAGGCCCTCTCCGCCCTCGAGAGCCTCGGAGGGGAGGGCAGACGGCCGAGCCCGCCCCCAGCCTCAGCCCCTGCTGCGCGCCGCGGTCCCGGCGGCCGGAGAGAGACGGGAGGCACCTCCTCGAGCGGAGAAACCAGTTCGGCCGGTCCTGGGGAGCGGAGAGAAAAGGGCGGCCGCAGGAAGGGCGCGCGGCGCGGGGCGGGGAGGCTTGGGAGCCATTGGCGAGCCGCGAGAGCTGGAGGAGCCGCCGCCGACTGGACGCGCTGCCCGGGGCCCGGGGCCAGCCCCCGTGCGCCATGAAGCGCTAGCGCGCGGCGGGGCTGGGGCCGGCGGACGGCGGCCAGGTGCGCAGCGAGCGCGCGGAGCGGCGCGCACCCGGCGGATGCCCCTGCCGGGGCCCTGCGGACGCCAGGTAAGAAGGGGCGCGGCTCAGGGACTGGCGAACCCCGATTGTCCGGCCCCGGGGGCCCCCTGACAGCCCCAGGCTCCGGGGACCTGGGATGCCGGGGCAGCAGCTGTCCGCGTCCCCGGGTTCCTGAGCCCGCACGGATGGGATTTAGGCGGGGGTGCCCCGAGCCTGCCCGGCCTCCGGGAGCGGGAGACACAGCCGGCGGGACTGTGAAGAGGCGTGTGGGGTTTTCACCTGCCGGGAGCAGGGCGCGCTCGTGGCCGGCGTTTGGGGTCTAAGCTGGTTTGCACGCACATGCCCGGGTTAAGTTCCGAGAGTCAAGCCCGGGAAGGTTTGCGGGTCCGGAGTGCCGCTGGCTTCCCTTTAGGGTCTCCCCCTTCCCGGGAGTCCCCCCTGGCCGAGTTCTGCCGAGGCCCCCCTTTGGGAGTCGATGCCAGCGCTTCTGAAAAGTCCTCAGGGTCAAAAGTCCCGCACCTGCGGGAAGGGATGGATGGTCCCGCGACAGGCGCGGGGCCAGGCGCTCTCCAGGGCCGGAGGTGATGGGGAAGAGAAACACTTTTGGAAGCGTGTAGGCTGGTGTCCGCCGGCTCCTATGGCGCTGCCACAGGCCGTGTCCTTCCCTCCCCGGTTTGATGCCCAGCGCTGTTAGCGCGCTGTGTGCGTGCCAAGGAGCAACCTGTTGGAATGGTTTCTGCAGAGAATCGCGAACGCTTTACACCCATACACTACTCCACATCTCCCCAAGGGAAGGAAAAGCCTTAGTTGCGCGCCCTGTTGTTAGGGGGTGTTCGCCCCAGGTCCCTGCCAGTGGAGGTTCAGAACCCTCAATCCTGCCAGCCGTGGGGGGGCAGGTGGAGGATTTTGAAGGGATGAAGAACAGGGCAAAGGCTTGACTCCTGCAAGTTAGGAAGCTGGGCCATGTTTCCACCTTGTGCACCCCCCTCAACTCTCCATCTCTTTCGGCCTGGCGGCGCCCTCCGGACCTGGGAGATCTTTTCCCTGGGAACTGCCCTCCCTGTTGGCTTGAGAAAAGATTCTTTTCCCATCTTCTGTGCCCTCAAATTTCGAGCCACTGCTTGAGAATTAAGTGAGACAGCACAGGTGAAGTGTTTAAAGATCAGTCAGCGCACAGTACGTCGTGATGAAGGGTAACTGTTCTCAGGAACCAACATTAAAAAAGTTGTGCGATAAGGTCTCCAGGGATAGTAAATAGTAGCACAAATAAAGAGGAAACAACACTAAAGGGAAAATACAAATTCTAATTATTCATGTGTCGGGAATACTTTGGTGTTTGACCTAAAATGTCATTCATTCATTGTGGGCCTGTTGTCGAAGGCCTTATTAAGACCTGCGAAAAGATGACTAATGGTTATTAGCTGATTAGTTCTGGGGGAGAAGTCTGCCTGCCTGCAATTATCCTTTGAATTCCCTTAATGGTTTTCATTGTGTGTGTAAGTTTCCTTGTTCTAATTTTAGGTAAGAAACTTTAACATTTATTTGCATTTTCTAGTGGCTGAGCTTTGCTGATTTTTAGTTATTCTCTTTGTTTTGTTTTTTTAAGATTTATTTATGCATACAAGAACTAGGGTACAGGCCAGAGGCGTGGGGGGTGAGACAATTCACCAGAGACAGAGCGGCGAACAGAACAGGCAGACTGACTGAAATACACTGCTGAGGGGAGCAGTGGACTCGACAGGAGAGGTCTGCTGGGCCATATGGGTCAGCTCCCTGGAGGGGGATGGGGACGGGGGATTACACTGTTCTGCAGTGACTATGGATGGCTTCCTTGTGCTGAGACTTAACTCTTTGCGCCATCAGGGAGGCCCTCCTTCCAGTTCTTGTGAGCAAGATGCATGTGCCAGGATGCACTTACACTCTTTGTCTTAGAACTAGGAGGTGTTTTTCTTATTAATCAAGACTTTGAAATACTGGGTCAGTAAAGCCAATCAAAAGAGGTCTGCAGGTGTGTAAGGTGAGTTTAGGGCTGGCTCCATGTTTCATGTGGATTTCAGTATCTCTGGAGTCTTGGAGCACTTTTGGTGCTGGCCCACCTATGAAATGTTTCTTTCCTTGTCTGTCTACCTGCTTTCCTGTCTTTCTTTTTTCCCCTTTCTAAAGCAGAGCCCTGGACAACGTGGATTTAGAGTTCCATACTTTTCATTTCTTTTACTACTTTTTGTATTTGTTTTGAATGTGTTTATTTACTTATATTTCAAATTGTATAACCTTAGATGTATTCCTCAATTTTCTGAACCTTCGTTTATTTGCATTGTGGGGCATAGGTTACCAACTGCCTTGGGTTGTTGAGAATTAAATGAGAGAACAGGTGAGCGTGCCTTAAATAGGTGCTCAGATGTTTGATTTTTTTTTTAAATTTTGTTTATTAAACTGATATTTTAAGTTAGTATGATGCCAGGTATTTGGTATATTTTTCATCTTTTATTACCTTATTCAAATTCCATTTTAGTTTATCGCAAACAGTCATAGAATACAGGTGATCCTTATAACTAGCTCTACAGATATTTGAATCAACTAGTTACCTTTGCTCTTTGGTTTCAGTCATTGTGTTATAGAGCAACCCCCATATTAAACGGGTTCCTGGCTGTGGGTCCTCACCCGCGCGCTTAAAAGGGACTTATGAATACTCTACTACAGACACACGCAAAAGGGTTAATAAAAGGTTTATTTACAAGAGAAAAAGAAATAAGGAAAATATACAACTCAGGGAGAAAATAGGGAAATAAAGTCTTTAATGCGTCCTACCCGATCCAACGACCTGGAAACCCAAAGTCACTCTGGACGCTGCGAGCTGGCGGAGAGCCAAAATGGAGAGCCCCCCCAAAGCCCACGTGTCTGCCTTTTGTATCCACCTGGCTGCTTAACCCCACCCTCAGGTCCCAGCCACCTTCCCTTTGGTGGTGATGGGATTTGGAGTTCCCAGTGTCTTTGGCTTTGACCTGGGGTGGGGGTGGAGTCCACAAAGTCTATATGGAATTTGCTTTGGGACAGCCTTTTCCCCCTAACAATTGTACGAGAAACTTAGGCTCTTATAAATGCAGAGGAATTTGCTTTTTAGGTACCAGGTAAGTTTAAGGACATCCATTCAGACCCACAGTCTCTAAAGAGAAGTGCTTTTAAAGTGTCTTAAGCACTTGATGTTAGAATTTGTGAGGATGTTTGCTTGTAGATATTTAGTTTCCTGGGAAGGTTTTCTTTGTGATGTCTTTAGAATATCTGAAATTTCAGGTGTTTGTTAGCATCAATCAGTTAGATTAATTGTATTCATGCCTGCAGGTGTTTTGTTACCCATTAAGTAAAAATTAATTTGTTGCCAGAAAAAATTTAATAACACAAAAGAAGTTAGCTTATCCTCTTTTATTCTATTAACCAAGTTATACCTGAATCCCCACCCCGTGCCCAGTTAACAATAAATCCCCATCTAAGATCTTTAGAGGTCCCCTAGCATTTTGGAGAAAGAGTCCAGAAAGCATGAGTGTGCATGCAGGCCTACATATACACATATGAAATGTGAACATGTACATATACATATATAAAGCAGCCTTGTTTCTCATTTTTGTTTGCAGAAATCAAAGGACTTTAACCACCTGATCAATTAGGGACATATTAGTACTTTTCCTATTTCTTCTAAATGCACTGCATTTTAAAGTAAATACTTGCTGAAACCACACACAATGAGAACTATGTTTGATAACTAGTCTCAGTGAGCACTGGGCCCAGAGGCAGCAGTAAAATAGAGGTTTGTAGCACATGTGTCCAGTCTTTGCACAAGCCAGGAATGCAGTCCTCCCAACTTCTAGCTGATCACCTCAGGCAAGTTCTGTAATCCCTTTGAGCTTCCGTTTCCTTGTCTGCGAAATGGGATAATAGTACTAGTCCACACGTTTGTATGATGTGTTCTAAATGAGAATTTTGGTAAAAGGCTTAGCTCGGCACAAAAACAGTCATTAACATCACTGCCGTGTGGTTGTTGGTGCCCCTCGGTAAGTGTTGCTCATTCGGCAGTTGCCTTTCTCCTGGGCTCTGTGGGAAACGAGAGTCCCTCTGGATGTTAGCATTTATTTAGCCAACACAGTGCCTGTTTGTACCAGGCACTGCCAAGAAAGGGTCCTTTGGAGCAGGGGTGAGGTTCTCAACCTCCAAATCCAGGGGTGGCGCAGAGGATCAGGTGCTCTGTGGCCTGGGATGTGTCCTGTCAGTCTGGCAAGGAGGCCGTGAGGGGCCTGACTGCTGCTCACAACTGGGTGCTCCCTCCTCCCACCCAGGGGAGGCCCTTGGGACATACTGTGTCCCCTTTACTCCCACTTCCACTTGACTTTACTCCCCCAGGAGTCTCTGCACTCAAAATTACCAAACCCTCTTTAAAACTCAGGTTCTGAACCTCAAGTCTTCTTTAAAGGTTCGGTGTTCTCTGTGTGGCATTCTTAGTTGTGGGGCCTGGTAAGTGTCACTCCTGATAGAGACCTTGCAGATCGATGCATCCGTGTATTCATTCATTCATTTATTCATTCTCAAAACAGTGTCTTCTCCAGAAATATGCACTTCCCTGCTTGGGGAAGCCTGGGAGGCTCTCGAGCGCCTAGGTTGTGTTTTCCTTCTTTGGTCAGAAAGTCTGTCTGGTGCTGTCTTTCCTCCCGTCTGGACTTTGTCCCTCTCTACATGGAGAGATGGCTGCTTGAGTCCCTGGAAGATATCCCAGGCCGCTTCCAGCTCTGCGTTCACGGTCAGTGTCCAAGTGCAGTGAACTTGCTTGGATTAGGGGAGCGATGGGCCTGGAAGCTGGGTTGGGTCTATGGTGAAAAGCCCTCTCCCTGTCTGGGAAAGGCAGGACTCCAAAGGTCGGCGGTCACCCTCACTCCCCATGGCCCTTCAGTGTGATGGCCGCCTCCCCCAGCATGAGAGAGGAGCCTGGCGTTCCGGCCTGGAGTGTGTGTGGAGCCTGACCTTTGGCTCGTAGATTTGGTCTTTATTTACAGGGTTGTTGTTTATGGCTTTGTCTCTTTGCTCATGGCTTTTGTTTCGCTGCCAGAGTTGAGGTGTGTTTGATTTAGAGCAGGTAGTGTTTGCAGTCAGTATTCTAACCTTTATTCAAGTGAATTGGGTTGGGATCACCTCATTGGAAACCCATGCCCCATGATTTATCTCCTCCACACGTCCCTTGGTGCTATCTGGGGACACTCCGGAGCTTAATCCCCATTTATTTTACAAAGTGGAATATGACTGGTACACAAATCCTTACTGTGTTCTTGGGATGCAGTTGCCTAATAAGATGGGCCATTTTGTGAGAGGCCTCTATGTAATCTGTGAATCGAAAAGATGTGTTTATTATTCTGCATTTAAAAAAAACAAAACAGAAAAGCATTTGCCTTGGTGGTTTAAAGTCTGACCAACCTGGTGAGGTGGGTCAGGTTTTATAGTTTCACGCTGGAAATATTGACCTTGCTGCCATACTGGAAAATCAGTGTGGGCCCCCTGAGTTCAAGAACAACAGCTGCTGTAGAAACCCTCAAAATTTTGATAAAGCAAAGAACTGAGTGTGTGGGGTTCCTGAGACTGTTGATAAAGGAGAATGAACTGAATTCCTTACTATTTTTTTTTAAAGATTGATTTATTTACGCATAAAAGAGCTGGGGTACATATAGGCCAGAAGTGTGGGGGGTGAGAGCATTCACCAAGAGACCGAGCTGGGAACAGAACAGGCAGACTGACTGAAATACACTGCTGAGGGGAGCAGCGGGCGAGACAGGAGAGGTCTGCTGCGCCATGTGGGTAGCTCCCTGACCCGGGATCAAACTCTTGCTGCAGTGGCTGTGGACAGCTTCATAGGTTGCATCTTAACCCCTTGCGCTGGGAGGCCCCCAGCACCTTTGCTATTATCAGCTCCAGGTGGAATCAGTCTGCCTCATTCTGCCTCATCCGTACCCATCCTGCAGCCCCTGATCTCCCCTCTTGCATGAACTTGGTTATTCCAAGGCACCACATGCAAGTGGAATCACACTGTAAGTATTTGTCCTTTTGTAACTGACTTAAATCGCTGGATACAATGCCCTCCAGGCTCATCCACATTGTCTCAAGTGGCAGAATTTCTCCTTTTTCAGGCTGAATAATCTGTGTTTTGCTGACCATTCATCCATTGATGGACACTTGGGTTGTGCCCACTTTGGCTATGCTGAATCATGCTGCTGTGAGCATGGGCATGCAAGTGTCTGTCAGTGGAAGTTTTGAGATTTAATTCACTTTGGTGAAATTGATTTTTCCTAGAAAGTGGCTAAGATGGGCAGGAACATGTAGTTCTTAACCCCATGCTTTACTCCGAAATGGCTTGAAGATGAGATAATGCAGGGAGCTGGGTAAGGATGGCTGCATTGAAGACGCATGCTCCTTGTCACCTGCAGCTGCCTGATGAAGCTGGAGGTCCCGTGGCATCTGTCACCCATTTAGCCGGTGCTGGCACTGCTCTGTGCCAGGGCAGTGTGGAAACTGGGGACACCTGGTCCCACAATTGGAGGTCTCTGCAGATCACAGGTGCCTTCTAGGGAGTACATTGCTAGTGGAGGAAAAAATGGTAACTGTCCTCCAGAATTGACTTGTATTTAAAAAAAAATTTGCTTTTAGTGGGAGGAGGGTTAGAATGTGAGAAAAACTCTTATTTAAATATTTAAAAAATGGAATGCTAAAAAAAGTCAGATCGTGTCCACTTTAGCATAAAATGCATGATTTTCCAGGGCCTCCCTGGTGGTGCAAAGGGTTCACTTTCAGCACTATCAAGCTGTCACCAGCCACTGCAGTAGGAGTTTAATCCCCAGCCAGGGAGCTGACCCACATGGCACAGCAGACCTCTCCTGTCTCACCCACTGCTCCCCTCAAGCAGTGTATTTCAGTCAATCCACCTGTTATGTTCTGCACTCTGTCTCTGGTGAATACTCTCAACAACCCCCTACCCCTGCACCTCTG